AAAAAAAAAAAAAATTGGAGATGCTATTCACTTTTTCATGTAGATGGTCACTTATTCTAAGTAGCAGATCATTAAACATGCAAACATCCACTTTGATTAGCTTTAATAGTCAGTCCCCACACAATTCCAAAATGGAAAGTGTTCTTAATTTTTAAAGGGAAGAATAATTTTACTGGTAAAGTAACAGAGATTGTATCCCAAGTCAGTAACACATTGCAAGTGAACAATTGGTAGTGGGGACAAGTCAGTCTCCATGACACTTTCAGCTCTATTATTCTATTATTTTAAAATAAACTCTCAAATATACTTGTTTCCTTTGTCTTAGCAGGTGGAGTTCCCTGTGGAGCGATGGGGTGGGCCAATCACAGTTCCCTGATGGGTTTCATCCTTCTAGGCTTCTCAGACCACCCTCGCCTGGAGGCTGTCCTTTTTGCATTTGTCCTTTTCTTCTACCTCCTGACCCTTGTGGGGAACTTTGCCATCATCATTGTCTCCTATCTGGATCCCCTTCTGCACACTCCTATGTACTTTTTCCTTAGAAACCTCTCCTTACTGGACCTCTGTTTCACAACTAACCTTGCTCCTCAGACCTTAGTGAATCTGCGAGGACCAGAGAAGACTATCTCTTATGGTGGTTGTGTGATGCAACTCTATATTTCTCTAGCACTGGGCTCCACTGAGTGTATCCTCTTGGCTGTGATGGCCTTGGATCGCTATATTGCTGTCTGTAAACCCCTCCACTATGTGGTCATCATGAGCCCACAGGTATGCCAACAGTTGGCATCTGTGTCCTGGCTCAGTGGTTTGGCCAATTCCCTGATCCATGCAACTTTTACCTTGCAATTGCCTCTTTGTGGCAACCACAGGCTGGATCATTTTATTTGTGAAGTACCAGCTCTTCTGAAGTTGGCTTGTGTAGACACCACCATCAATGAATTGGTGCTTTTTGTTGTCAGCATCCTGTTCCTTGTAATCCCACCAGCACTCATTCTTCTCTCCTATGGCTTTATAACTCGAGCTGTGCTGAAGATCAAATCAGTAGAGGCAAGACACAAAGCCTGCAGCACCTGCTCCTCCCATCTTACTGTGGTGGTCATTTTCTATGGCACCATAATCTACATGTACCTGCAACCCAGTGACAGTTATGCCCAGGATCAGGGGAAATTCATCTCACTCTTCTATACCATGGTGACCCCAACCTTAAATCCCATCATCTATACTTTAAGGAACAAGGATGTGAGAGAAGCTCTGAAGAAACTCCTGTCAGGAAAACTGTGTTCACTATGAGCATGATATGCAAAGACTTGATTATAAGCTACATGATTATTCAGCTTCTGCTGAGTTTAAACCCTATGCCAAGTAAGTTATCATTTACTTATTTTATCTTCAGAAGAGAATTTTTTCTCTCTTACATGTAACTAAGAATAATGTATATATTTTTATTTAAGTTGAAAGCACAAACCATGGAAAACGTGCATGGGTATAAATTGCGATCCTCACCACAAGGTTTCTTGTGTAAGAAAAAATCCATACTTTACATCTGAAACATATTCTCAACCATTCAGACAATTAAATCATCAAATATCTACCATGTGTTTCTCTAAGTTATGAGGCTTCTTTACAATTTTAGTGAAATATTTAGTTTTCTGGCAAATATGCTCATTATATTTACTTCACAATGCCCCTCATTAAAGCTTCATCTTGGAAAATAAGCAATTGCTACATGTGCTTCCTCTACAAAGGCAAAGAAATATCTTCTTATAGTCTGAATTTATTGATCAGTAAGATATTGTTGTAACTGTTCTTTTTATAAATCATTTTTTCATCTAAAAACACGTTTTAAGAATTTAATAAGAGTTAAAAGAAATAAAATAAACTAAACTCATCATTTTTCATAATGCAGTGAATATGTCTCCTTTTTGGTCTGAGAATCACTTAATGTATGATGGATCCAAGCCTTCTGAGATAGAAAGTCAAATAATTTTGTTCTAAACTATTCAACACATTTGATCAATCAGAATATTGGACTTCAAAAACACCATTAATGTCTTTCTTTAAAAAACCAGGATTTTGAGGTATAATTGATATATAAAAGTGTACATATTTAATGTACATAATTAGATGAGTTATGACATGCAAACATCAATGAAAATAATGTCAAGGTAATATACATATTTGTCACCCCTGAAAGTTTCCTTGTGCTTCTCTTTTTGTTATATTATGAGATCACAGCATAAACCCTACACTTTCAACAAATTTTTAAGTGCACAGAACAGTATGTTTAACCATAAGCACTATTCCAGAACCTATCCTTCTTGCATAATTGAAACTTTGTACCCATTAAACAAAATCTCCCCATATTGCCTTCTTTCATCCCTAGTAAACAACATTCTATTTTCTATTTCTATAACCTGGACTATTTCACATACAAGTGAATCATGCACTATCTGCCCTGTTCAATGAGCTTACTTCATTTAGTGTGATGTCCTCCAGGTTCATTCATGTTGTTGTAAATGGCGAGGCTTCCTTGTTTCTTTTTAAGTAGAGCAATACATATCCTTAATATTTACATATTTAATAAACACATAAAACATGGAATATTATTGCTCAAAACAAGGCTAAGGTAAAAGAAAAGCTAAAAAATATTTTTAAAAATAAGTAAACAATGGCACAGAATATATATGAGATCAGGAAGGTGGTTTTATATTTAGGAAACACTGTCTTAAGGAATGATTTGATTTAGCCAGCATTGTTTCTGAATGCTTGTTAATAATGGACCACATCAGAAAAGGATTTCTTCTCCTACTATAAATCTGGGGGATATTTCATCCCCCAGGAAAAATCTTTTGAAAAAAAGTTTACATTTATTTTAAGAACATAAATTTGAAATTACTGAGTAAACAATTCTCGTATGAGGACAGTTGATGGCCTAGTACATTGTGGGGGGTGGGAAAGAGGAGAGCAAAGAGAGGGAAGAAGGAATGTGGATGAGGGAAGGAAAGAGCAGAGAAAGGAGGGTGGGGGAAGGGAAGAGCAGAGACTGGGAAGGAGGGAGGGGGTGAAGGGTGAGTGACTGTGTGTGGCACATCTTTTGGGGGCAGGACACAATTATAAGAGGGATTTTACCTAATAAATGCAATCAATGTAACCTGGTTCTTTGTACCCTCAATGAATCCCCAGCAATTAAAAAAAGAGAGAGAAATTACTGAGTAAATTTATTTACTTTAAAAGTGTTCACCAAAATGTTAAAAAAAAATGTGGGGGTGGAGGCAAGATGGTGGACTGCAGCCAGCTTTTTACAGAGGCTCCTGTCCAGAAGGAGACTTAAAGGACAGAAGTTTAGCAAGTAAGCTGATGGTTTGGAGCTGAGCCAAGAGAGAAGATTGAAGAACGCATGTCATCCTTGCTGAGCCAAGCTGCGACCCCCAAAGGACAATCAAAAGGTACAATATCCACCACCAAGCTGACAGGAATCCCCTCGCCGACAAGATGGGTTTGCAGTTTACTCCATATGAATAAGCAAGCAGAGTTCAAACACCCTCTCCTCTATCCCAAGGGAGAGACTTCCCTAAAAACTGGACCTCCTACTCCTACTAGGGTGCCACAGCACTCTCATGCCAGGCATAAAACTGTAAAAACTATATAAAACTGTATATAGTCTCTACCTGCAACTTTGAACTCCCAGGATTCCCCACCCCCAGGGTCTGGAGGTTTGTCACTCATGGAGTCCAGATTCTTGGGCACTTTCTTGAGAGGAGTGGAGGGGGAAAGGCCTGGTGCTGGTCTGTGTTGATTCTGTGGTATGGGAGCAAGGAGAAACGGTCAGCTGACAGGGGATCATACAGAAGTTGTGGTATCCTGAGTTGCAGATGAGCAGTGGTGGCAGCAGGAAAGACTCACATCCCCATGGCCATTCTGAAGACACACCCTGTGTCTCTGGGCAACCAGAGGTTCTGGGATACATGCAGCTCATAGACTTACAGGGAGGGGCCGTGAGTAGACTGTTTATATGATTGTAATAGCACCACTCCTCAGGGGAATATAGCTGAGACAAAAGCAGTGGGTAGGCAGAGGCTGGAATTGACACCTGAGTGTAAACTCTAATTGCTTGCTGCCCAGGGCTGAGTTTTGTATCAGCTCTAGCAGTGTCTGATGTACAGGAGAATTTAGCCTTGCTCTGTCCTGTTCTGTCAGCAACTTCAACTAGGTGCGGGGCTGGAACTGAGTGAACTGTCTCTGCCTATGTTAAACACCAAATGTATACCTGCCAGACTCAGATCTCTGGGTCACAGCCCTGTGGGATTACCAGTGACTGGGTGCAAGGTGGGGAAGGAGGCATCAACCTTCCTAGACTAATTCATTTGCTGGGTGGGTCCTTCGGCCCTCACAGAGCATTAGAGTGAGTCATATCTGAACTGCCAGTAGACCCCTCCTATCTAACTGCTGGAGACTTTTTGAATTATCCCACCTGAGACTGGAGCTGACTGAGACAACTGATTTGGACCCCTTGAACTGGGCAAATCACCCAAGGACTATCCAAAGTGGCACCTGGGTGTATGTTTAAGGGAAGGTTTGATTTACCATGGTCAATTGTTGTTTGTGGGGGGTGGGACGACTTAATTACTGGTATTTCTCCACAGCTGAGACTTCAACCAAGAGTAACGGATTCACTAGGATAGGACAGAGACCAGCTGAAAATAAGACAGAGCCACTTAGCCCCACCACACCAAGGGAGTCCCCAGTCTTTCAGGCCGTAACACCATATGGGTCCTTGACAAACCTCAAGGGGGAAAGCCAAACAGGGTAAAATAATCATGGGACAGAATCAGCAGAAAAGCTCTGGTAATATGAATAACCAGAGTAGATCAACTCCCCCAAAAAAGGATGTGGCAGAGGCAATTTGAAGATCCCCTTCATAAACAGTTAGCTGAGATGTCAGAAATCAAATTCAGAATTTGGATTATAAATAAGATTAATAGAATAGAGGCAAAGATAGAATTAGAAATTCAAGGAGCATTCCAAAAGTTCACTCAAGAATTCAATGAATTCAAAGACAAAACCACCAAAGATTTTGAAACATTGAGGCAAGAGATGGCAGCCCTCAGAGATCTGAAAACCATGGTAGAATCCCTTGGTAGTATAGTGCAGCAGGCAGAAGAAAGGATATCAGGCATTGAAGACAAAGCTTTTGAACATGTCCAAGCATCCATAGAAGAACAGAAATGGAAAGCAAAGATGGATCATTCTCTCAGAGAGCTCTGGGATAATTTGAAGAAAACTAATATTCACCTTACAGGAATCCCTGAAGGCAACAAAGTTGCTTCACAAAACACAGAGGCTCTTCTGCATGAAATTACGAAAGAAAACTTTCCAGATATGCCAAGAGATCCTGAAATTCGGATAGCAGACAGCTTCAGAAACCCAGCATGACTCAACTCAAATAGACATCCCCCAGACACATCATAATTAACTTCACTAAAGTTAACATGAAAGAGAAAATCCTAAAAGCAGCTAGACATAAGAAAACCATAACCTATAAGGGGAAGAAAATCAGAATGACTGCAGATCTCCCTGCCACAACCTTTCAGTCTAGAAGAGGGTGGTCATCGACTTTTAATCTCTTAAAACAAAATAACTTTCAACCAAGGATCCTGTATTCAGCTAAACTGAGTTTCATTTATGATGGAGATATTAAATACTTTAATAATATTCACATGTTGAAGAAATTTGCCTTAACTAAACCAGCTCTCCAGGAAATTCTCAGACCTATTCTCCATAATGACCAGTGCAATCCTCCACCACAAAAGTAAACTCACTCAGAAACTTTTGATCAAATTCCAACTTCCACAATGGCAAAAGGATTAAAAATGTCCACTAGACTTTCGAACAACTCGATACCCCAAATACTGCCAGGCTTATCAATAATTTCAATCAATGTGAATGGTTTAAATTGTCCACTAAAGAGGCATAGATTGGCTGATTGGATACAGAAACTCAGACCAGACATCTGTTGTATACAACAATCTCATCTTGTTGATAAATATAGACTCAGGGTGAAGTGATACTCATCTATGTTCCAGGCAAAATGGAAAGCAGAAAAAAGCAGGTGTTGCAGTTTTATTCGCAGATACAATAGGTTTTAAACCAATAAAAGTAAGCAGAGACAAGGATGGCCACTGTATATTTGTTAAGGGTAATACTCAATATGATGAGATCTTAATTATCAATATTTATGCACCCAACCAGAATGCATCTCAATTTATAAGAGACACTCTAACAGGCATGAGCAACTTGATCTCT